TGAAAGGTTAATTACACATATGCTGGGGTCTGGTCGCTGGGAAGTAGGTACACATCTGTTGGGTACTGGCAGTTGAGAGATTAATGCACATAGGCAGAAGACATAACAAAAGAATAGGTTTTGAGAGGGTTAAGAACACACTACTGTATATTGCCAAAAGTGTTGGGACGCCTGTGATAATTGTGCATATAGATACGGACGCTGAATCATATTTGTATCATACTCTGCAACTATCATTCTCGCTCTCTCCAGTTACCCCTCCCTCTTTGAATGGAATGTGATGTGTGTGTGGGCACTGGGGTCACAAGTGCATAAGGCACAGCTGGAAACGCTTCATGGTTGTAACCCCAATTAAGCCTGGTGCCAGAGGGTCTGACAAACATCTGCCCAGTCGTAAAACTATAACTCAGTCGTCACTTGACATGAAACATTATCTCAGAGTGGCCATAAAACGCATATCCCACGTGAATAACTTTTTCATACAAATTCATAAACTTCAACAGGAACAGGGCACAGTAAAATAAAGCATATATTCAGATAGGTCATTTTGATACGAGTCACCTGACACCTTACATCCCTATGTGGCGTCTACAAGAGTGTAGAAAGCAATATATTTTTATCTGGAATGGTAAGATATGCCATATTTGGTGTCTGGATGTTCAGAATATGATTCTGCATATTAATCTACCAGTGGCTAAAATGCTACATGTACATTGAAGGTTATTGACCATGGTATAAACTTGTGAGGGATTTGGTCATAGCCTGGGTCCCCCGCCTAACACCCCTCCGCAAATAAGGCGATTGGCCCTTGGCTTCAGTAGACACCCCCTGCTGGGACACTAGAAAAAAGGCTGTCATGCCTCGAGAGAGAAGAAGAGATTCTCCCTTTTAACACCAGGAACCATCTTTGGGAGAAAGACAACCTTTTGCTCGGACACGTGGACTCTGCTTAAACCAAAGGACTTCTGCAAGTATCCTACCTTCTGAAACTTCTTTATTTTATCTTTCTGTTGTGTTATTGCTCTCTCTCTCTCTCTCTCTCGATATATATATTACATCTTTTCTGTAAATACTTTAATTGCACCATTTTGACCTTTTTAGTAACACATCCTAGTTTCTGAAAAGTGTTGAAACTGTCTCTAATGTTTTTAATGCAAACTAAAAGAATCCCTGTCTCTGAAGAGTGCTACCGTGTGTTTTGACCCTCTGCATACATCTGTCTGCGGTGGCAGTGTGTATACAGACGGTTATTCAAAACATCCTAGTGTTACTGCTAAGATTTGTGAGTTTCCTCCTTCTCTGTAAAAAGGTGGTGGTGGCAGTGTGACGGGTTAATCGCGTAATTAACCTGACCCAGTAACAATCGCTCTCGGGCTGCTGGCACACAGATTGAGGTCCAGCGAGCTGGAATATCTTTGTGCAGGGCGCAAGTGGCAGCGCGGTCTTAAGATTGGCTGGTCCTTCGGTCACAAGTTGGTGAGAAGGACTGGGGTCTGACGCCGCGCCTGTCGCAACGCCTGCCTTTACACGCACATGAACTTTAATAGCATTCCAGTCTTTGTCTATAGGGTTCAATATTGAGTTGTCCCACCCTCTGCAGCTATAACAGCTTCAACTGTTCTGGCAAGACTGTCCACAAGGTTTAGGATTGTGTCTATGGGAATGTTTAATCATTATTCCAGAAGTGCATTTGAGAGTTCAGGCACTGATGTCGGACGAGACGAGTAGGCCTGGCTTACAGGTGGCAATCTATCATGGTACCACTCTTGAATTCACTGAGCTCCTGAGAGCAACCCATTATTTCACAAATGTCTGTAGAAGCAGTCTGCATGCCTAGGTGCTTGATTTTATTCACCTGTGGCCATGGAGATGATTGGAACACCTGAATCCAATGATTTGGAGGGGTGTCCTTATACTTTCGGCAATATAGTGTATATTGGACACTGAGTGCTGAGCGATTTATCTACACAAGCTGGGTACTAGGTGCTGAAGGGTAACAATACATGTCTGGAGATTGAGAACTAAAGGGATCATGCCCAAGACTACAGTAAAATGCCTCAGCATGGAGTGAGAGGAGCTCGGGGAAAATCCATTACCAGGTCTCCTGTGACTATTGAGCCCAAAAGCATTCCATCACTTTCGGGTTCAGAGTTGTCAAAAGTGTTATCCTGTAAACTGGTCCCAGGTAAACAACTTCAAGTATTAAACCCAAAGAATCAATGGGCCAGCCAGGCAACCTTCTTTTTTCATAGATTGGCATTGCAAACCTATCTCAGAGTGCATTACATGACAGCTAGTCTTCATCCCATAACCTAAAACCTAACACTTAGGGACATATTTGTAGAGTAGTAAACCGGACATTCACCAAAATACTTTACTTATTAAAAAAAAAAAAAAAAAAAAAAAAAAAAAAAAAAAAAAAAAAAGGTGCTTCTCTCCCAACCCCCATCATAATTGTTAAGCAGTAAGGTTATATTATCCCCTGAATAAGGATTTTGAAAAAATACCCCCACACTATATAAACAAAAGAACTGTCTGGGGGTGGCAGAGTTATCAGACAGCAGGAGCCTTCGTCAAGAGCAGAGGGTTTTTTTTCTTTTTCGGGTCGGTGGTGGCAGCAGGCATCGTGATTGACAATGGATCTACACCGAGGGACTTTTTTTTTTTTTTTATGCTTGTTTTTCTAATAAAAGACTTGTCAAAAACTACCTCATGTGGTTTTTTTGCACTATACTTTTTTTTTTGTTGAATGAGAAGCAGTACCATATACCCCATACTCATTCACATGGGAGAGAGGGGGGTCTGGGGGTTCGTCCAGATTCCAAAAATCCCCCCGCAGACCTCCACAAAACCACCGGCCAGGGTTGTGGAGAAGAGGCCCTTATCCCAATCAACATGGAGACAAAATGGGTGGGCTCAAGATTTGGGGGGGCGGGGAGGGGAAAATCACTTATTTTAGAGTTGAGGTTTCCCTCAAAATCCATCCCACAGGGCTTGGTATGAATGGGGGGCGGGGGAACAGCACGCTGGTTTTTTGCTCCACTTTTAAATTGCCTTCAATTCTTTTTTTTACATTCAGCTGTCAGCGGGTAACCTGCACGTAAGCTGACAGCTGATGATTCTTAGATCATTAAAGGTCGTACTATGTGTCAGAGGGAGGGAGGGGCGGCGGCTGCAGCTATGGGAACATGTTACATGTTCCACCCCATGCCCTACCCGCACAGTCATTCGCGGCCTCGACTGTCAATCACCGGGTCCTGGCCGGTAATTACTCGCCGGCACCAAGCGATCACCAAGTATCCCTCTTGTATGTAAAACAATACAAATCTCTCCCGTCAGCTCTTGCACTCTGCTTTGTATGGCGCTCCATAGCAGAGCCATACAAAGCAGTGTGCTTACAGTGAAGCACACACACAGCACATAACGTGAAACAGCACACAGTTAACCCTTTGATTGCCCCAGATGTTAACCCCTTCCTGCCCAGTGCCATTAGTACAGTATCAGTGCTTTTTATTAGCACTGATCACTGTATTGGTGTCACTGGGGATGTCAATGACACCAAGTCAGTTCCCCCCCAGTGTCAGAATGCCCGCCGCAGTCCTGCTATAAGTTGCTGATCGCTGCCACTACACTAGTAAAAAAAATAAATACATCCAGTATATATACACTGGCCATTTGTAAATGCTATAACTTTCATGTAAACCAATTTACACATATTGGGATTATTTTTTAACAAAGACATGTAGCAGAATACATTTTGGCCTAAATTTATGACGAAATTTGATATTTTAAATTTTTTTATTGGACATGTTTAATAGCAAAAAGTCAAAAATATATATTTTTTTTCCTCAAAATTGTGGGTTTTTTTTTTTTTTTTTTTTCACATATTTAGGTTTGTTTATAGCGCAAAAAAAAAAAAAAAAAAAACACACACGTGATCAAATACCACCAAAAGAAAGCATTATTTGTAAGGGAAAAAAAGGACGTAAATTTAATTTGGGTGCAGCGTTGCATGACCGCGCAATTGTCAGATAAAGTAATGCAGCACCGTATCATAACAAATGGGCTGGTCAGGGGGGGTAAATCCTCTGGAGGGCAAGTGGTTCAGAATGCTTTCAGAAATAGAGGTGTTGAAAGTTTATTTACCAATTAACCAAAAAATGGAAAGTAAATGAACAGAAAAGAAATCCATATCAAATCAATAAAGCATCAATTTTTCTAGGTACACTTACAGGGATGAGCAATTCCTATTGCCCGACGCCTGGGACATGTAGATCCAGGTGCTGGGCAGGTAGTTTTTTTTTTGGCCTTTAGCCCTGCTGCGGGCAAGCAGCAGGGCTCACCTGTCAGGTGAAGCAATCGGCGCCAGCATTGCTTTCACACAGTGCCAGCCTCTCCATGCACCCGGAGTGAGGTTTCCTGGGCTCCGCTTGCCCATCTGCGGGCCTGGTTCGCCATCAGCTAGAGCGGAGGGAGAAGCCTACAGTGTCAGTCTCTCCTCCGCTATATGTCCTGGGCTCCGCTTGCCCATCTGTGGGCCAAGACTGGTTCGGTGGGTACCACGGGATGTGGTATAGAGGAGGAAGGAGAGCGGACACATCTGCTCTGCTCCCCTCCCCTCCCCTCCCCTTCTTCTCCTGACCTGGAGGTGATGTGACATATCAAATCAAACCGGTGTAATTGGTGTAGTCTTTGAGAAAGTACGTTATGCATATTGCATTTGGTGTTTCTATGTGACCTAGTGAAGTCTTCCTAAAAGATTTGATACATTTTCTTTGTTCTGTTACTGTGACGATCATGGAGCACCTCTGTGCATTCTATATAATGGTTTTTTTCTTTTTTATATTCTTTTTTGAAAACCTTCAATAAAAAACAAACTATTAACACTTCTATTTCTGAAAGCATTCTTAGTCTTAATAAACTCACAACAGTAAAATCAGTCTATATATGCACTGTGAAACATAAAGGGTTAATCCTCTGCATTGAGTAAAAAACGCCATTTGAGCCTGACTTCTCTGATCCTTCCCCTTCTTCCAGTGCCCCCCTCTCCTTATAAGACATATCGCGTGGAGTCACTCTACACATGCTCAGTTTGGTAGATTAAGACCCTGATCTGTCCCTGGACAAGTATTTTTTTTTCAATAATTTACACTCCCCGGCATTGGCTCCTTTTCTATTTAAACACTCTCTTCAAATCACTCTCAATCTTTGGCACAATCTGGTCATGCTCACCTTTCACCTTGGTATGCTGTACACACAGAACAATTACATGTGTGTAAAAGGGGGGCCAGGGACATTATGGACTGTTCACACTTGCAGCACTCTCTGCAGTAGAACAGCACCCGTCAGGCATTCAAGACATGGTACTGCTGCCTCCTGAATCCCTTCTTTTTTACCTCAAAGATTTTTCTATGTAAATACCGCGTTTGGCTTGACCTTGCAATGTGGCCTCACTCACTTGAATGGGTCACATTGGGCACAGTACTGCCTGTTGAAAAAGACAAGGGATATCATTTTTGCTGTGGCATGTTCTCTTCAACTCATCTTTGTACTACCTCCGAATTTTTATGGACACCAATTTGCAAGTCTAAAGTGGCTATAAAGTTTTCCGAGTATGCTCCGGTCTCACATATTTCTGCCTGCCTAAAGTTGTCAATCAAGGCTGATAAAGCAAATATTATCTAAATACAACAGGAATGTGTATTTCTTTTTGTATTGAATCATGGAGTGCTGTGTATATTTCTTCCAGTTCTGTGCAGTAAAAAAGCATGAAACTTTTCCTTTAACTTTTTTGTAACACAGACCAGTCACTGCTGCTCTCTCTCCTTGGCAAGGATGACTGGTTATGACTCCGACCCCTCCTGTAGTTTTCTGTAGTGGGTGGACCTGCTGTGTTCTTCTCTGCTGTCTGCACAGGTTATGTCCAGCACAGTGATATTGCCACTACTGTGTTCCAATATACAGTGAAGGAAATAAGTATTTGATCCCCTGCTGATTTTGAATGATACGCAAAGGCATTTAGCGTACTCAAAGTGGATTCATATGGTTTGTGGCTATTGAAGGAAGTACTGTATATATTTAATGTAGGTTTGTTTTTGCCTGATGTTCATAGTTAAAGGTTTACAGTGGTCAGGGCCGTCTTAATGCATGGGTATCCCTGGGCAATACCCAGGGGCCCCAGATGCATGGGGGCTCCATGATAATCTGGCATACATCATACTCGCTAACCCTTGCAGATTTGCTGGGACAGTCATGCTTTTTGCCAAGCTGACCCAGGATGGCCATGTTCCAGGCAGAGCCCAGGAACCTGTACTGTGCTCTCCTGATCCCCCTATACTGTGCCCTTTTGCCTCCCCCTGTACTGTGTCCTTTGTGTTGATTAGTCTTTGATTTATGGCAGGTTTTCTTATTGTTAAAATCAATATTGGTGAAAGTAATAAAAATAGGTTTAATTCTATCAACTATTTATACTTTAATTCTTGAGAGAGGGTGCATAAATTGGAGCAGGCTGGTAAGACCCCAGTGCATGACTTTGCCCAAGGGCCCATAATGCTATTAAAGGGTTACTAAACCCACAACAGTAAAATCAAACTGTATATGTAGTAAAGCATGTTTGTTATACTCACTGTGGAACCTAAGGGTTTAATCCTCCGCATTGTGTAAAAAGGCTATTTGAGCCTGACTTCTCTGATCCTCCCCTTCTTCCAGTGCCCCCTTATCTCCTGATAAAATATATTGTGTGGGGTCACTCTGTACATACTCAGTTTGGTGTGTATTGCTAGAGAGGTATTTTTTTTCTTGGGAGAGTGCATGTGATCAGCACAGGGTCAATCCGCGCTGTCCAGACGGAGGTCAAGGGTTCTGCATCCTCCTAGAGCAGAATGAAAACACCTCTGACAAGCTTTAACATGTGGTCTGCTGGACGCTGATAGAAGTCACAAGACTGCTCTAACTGCTGATGAGAAAAGGTATTTAGCAGATTCTATTACCTAAAATAATTGCACTTCCATGTTCTGTGTACTGTGGAAGACCAGATATAGTGAATGCAGGGTCCTAGGTTTAGTAACACTTTAAGACGGCCCTAGCAGTGGTTCTTTCATAATCTATCAGTTCTTTCAAATGAACTGCTCTTCTCCCCAAAGTGTATACCCTAAAGAACACAAAGGCTGCTTTCACACTGATCCATTTTATTCCGGGTTTGCGTACAAAAAAGTGGAAGAAAAAAGCATGACAAATCCTATGGAACTCTTCACACAGATCAGTTGAAGGTCAGTTGCATTTTTTTTTTTAACTTCCTGCATTTTTGGTGCGGTAAAAAAAAAAAAAAAAAACTGCAGCAAGAAAAAAAATGCACCTCCCCATTGACGTGAATGTTAAACGCATCAAAAAGTGGCAAACTGCGTTTTTTGAGTCACTTTGAGTTTTTTTTTTAATTCAGATGCAAAATGCACTTGAAATGCCAGCAAAATGCATACTGCATTTTTGCAATGGAGCAGCGTGCAAGTAGCCTAAAGAGAACTTTACAAGTCAATAGCCACGGCCTTATATCCATACCTAATCTTTTCTCTGGACACTAACATATACTGAGTACAATCACAAGGGATGAGTCTATCCCTAGCTTCACCTTGTCTATCCTGTATGAGTGGAAAAACTCGTAAAACAAAATGCAAAAACACTCATAGTGCCAACAAAGCATAATCCTACCAATGTGAAAATAAATTGTTCTGTATATTACAGAACTCAAACTTACAATGGATTCCATCGTTCCTCCAGTCGACGATGTAATGAGATTCTATCGCTGAGGTAGATGTTTATTTGATGTTTGTTGATGCTGTCCTCTTCCAGCTTTTTTTGCGTCGCCATCAAGGTTGAGATTCACTGCTCGCCCAAGCTCTCCCAAGGCATTAGGATCGAGCGGTGGCTTTTCATATACTGGCCTCTTAAGCTGTTCATCGCTCAATTCATTTTGTATAGCAGCCTCTTCCCTGGGTATCACATGCTTCTCTACTTTATGTCCCTCAGAGTTCTGGCTACTACCATCGTCCACCCCTTTACTTAGCAGCAGGAACCCAAAGAACAATACACAGGCTATAGCCACCAACACAAATATACTCTTCCTCCTCCTGTGTGGCAACCAAGGACCGAGAACGCCACGTCTCCTTTTACTCATTATGTAAAAGAGTGCTTACTGACCTAAGAAAGTGCGTTTCTAGTTCAGTGTTTTCAGAGGCTTACAGTGATCTTCTAGAATATTACTAAAATGTACAAATTCACATCCACAACTACACTCGTCTACGGTGTATCTGCAAAGATTGAACATTAAAATGTCTAACAAGCCCCTTCAATAGTTTTCAAATACCTACTTTATAGATATAACATATAGTACATAACAAATATTAAAAACTAATTATATATATATATATATATATATTAGTGCCTGAGCTTTAAAACTTGGTTTTCAAGGTATTCTTTAAATGATCAATTATTCTATATTTTAATGAATAAACAGTCTTCTTATAGATGAATGATCAATGATCCTATATATGCACGATCAAATATCTTGCATACAAATAAGTATACTGTATTCACTGTTTAACAAATGAGTGATCTATTATCTAAAATATCGGCTAGCATCCAATCTATGAATGATGAATTAACCTATATCTGATCAGCGATCCTACATCTGATCAGCGATCCTACATCTGATCATCTGCGATCCTATATACAAATGATCTATTGTCCAAGATATGGAATGCTCTATACCATGAATGATCAAGTCTCAGGTGTAGGGAAATGCCAGCGTTGTCACTCCAGCTACGTGTACAGCGATAGTGTAGGAGGAAACCCGCTCCCACCCGGCGACCAATCCCAATGAATCACCTTCTTAGCGATGCAGGAACAGGCCAGCATTCACCTGTCTAGCTCATTATCTATACACCCCTCCCACTTCCCTCAGCTGATCACCTGTGACCTACGAGCAATAAACATTAGAATCCCACAAACACATCGCAGCTTCCGCAACAAGCAAACTTTGTCGGCCGACTATCAGCCCTGCGCTGGGTTCACAGCTGACTTGGTCCTTCCTCCTCCCTCAGCTCCGCACGATAAGGGTTCCCCCTCCAGCCCAGCTTGTCTTTCCCTGGTCCCAACACCGGGGTGATAGTTCCTGTTCCTGGGGCTGTACGGTCCGGCAGCCTTCCTACGAAAAGTCCGGCAGTACTTATGACTCGCTAACGTCTTCCTCTTCCTTCTGTCACCTTACTCCTCACACCACACCCCTCTCCTGACCCCGCCTACTCCTGCAAACCCTCTCACGGCTTCTTGGCGTCAAAGGATTCTTGTACAGCGCCTCGCTTTGGCCCACAATAGAGGAAAAGGCCACCTAAAGTCGGGTTTTTAGCTATTAAAAAAGACCAGTGATGCCAATAGTCTGTAAAGAGCAGGGGCGGACTGACCACTCATGGGGCCCCTACTGACCTCCGGGCCCTCGGGCAGTGTCAGTTCAGTCCGCCCCTGGTAAAGAGTGTTATTGCTGGTTAATAGATGTTGATAGGACTGGAGAAAACGAGGCATGTGAGGAAGTGGGAGTGGCTTAAAGGTGGACACCAGGTAGGATCTCATCCCTTTAAACCAAACACATTAATTACCCAGGTTCTGTGGATGATGAGGGTGGTAATGCCCTGCAGAGGATTTACCCCCCCCCCCCCCTTCCTGACAAGGCCATCTGCATTACTTTAAAGCGGAGCTCCACCCAAAAAGAGAAGTTCCCCTTTAAGGACTGCTCCCCATTAAGGATTGGCACCTTTGGGGAGTGGGTACCCGAATTTGACAGGTACCCGCTCCCACTTCCAGTCTGATCGCCTAGGCCCTCCCTCCCTGTAGTCTTTTGGGACACGTGACAGGTCCCAGAAGACTACAGGACCATTCATGAAGCGCAGTGCTGCTCGCGCATGCGCAGTGGGTACCTGGCTGTAAAGCCGCAAACTATCACAGCCGGGTGCCCACACTGAAGATGCCGGCCTCCTGGAATACAGGGCGGCCGGTGTGAAACGGGCTGCGGGGGACACACCGCAGGACAGAGGGACAGGTAAGAGGCTGTTTTTTTAAAAGTCAGCAGCTACAGTTTTTGTAGCTGCTGACTTTTGTTTTTTGATAGGTCGAGTGGAACTCCGCTTTAACTGACAATTGTGCAGTCATGCAATGCTGCCCCCAAATGAAATTTACATCCTTTTTTTCTTTAGGTGGTATTTGATCGCCTGTGCAATTTTTATTTTTCACATTATAAAAAAAAAAGTCCGACCATTTTGAGAAAAAAAAATATTTTTGACTTTTTGCCATTAACCACTTGCCATCCTGAGGATTTACCCCCCTTCCTGACCAGGCTGTACCCAAATGAAATTTATGTCCTTTTTTTTCACACAAATAGAGCTTTCTTTTGGTGGTATTTGATCACCTGTGTGCTTTTTATTTTTTGCGCTATAAACAAAAAAAGGCCGAAAATTTTGAAAAAAAAACTATTTTTTACTTTTGGCTATAAAAAATATATAGTAAACTCAAATTTCGGCATAAATTTAGTCCAAAATGTATTCTACTACATGTTTTTGGTAAAAAAAAAATCCCAATCAGTGTACCGTATATTGATTGTTTTGTGTGAAAGTTATAGCGTCTACAAACTATGGTATAGATACTGTACTGCACTAGTTTAACTGACAATTGAGTGGTCATGCAAAGCTCCAGCAAACAAAATGTATGTCCGTCCTTTCACACAAATAGAGCTTTCTTTTGTTGGTATTTGATCCCCTGTGTGTTTTTTATTTTTCGTGCTATAAACAAAAAAACAAATTTTGAAACAAAAACTATATTTTCTCATTTCTGTCATAAAAAATATCCAAAAAACTAAAATTTTGTCATACATTTAGGCCAAAATGTATTCTACATGTTTTTGGTAAAAAAAAAATCACAATAAGAGTATGTTGATTGCTTTGTGTGAAAGTTATAGTGTCTACAAACTATGGTATAGATAATGGAATTTACACAGCTTTTTCTTTCTGACTGCTCATCACATTTCTTGAGGTGCATAAACACCAGGACAGTACAAACACCCCCAAATGACCCCTTTTTAGAAAGTAGACACCCTAAGTTATCTGGTAAGAGGCATATTAGGTCCATGGAAGATTTATTTTTTTTTCCACAACTTTTTAGAAAATGACAAAAACATTTTTTTTTGGTTTTTTTTTGCACAAAGTTGTCACTTAAATGATATATTGCTCACAAAAGCCATGGCTATATGTGGAATTACACCCCAAAATACATTCTGCTACTTCTACTGAGTATGGGGATACCACATGTGTGAGACTTTTTGGGAGCCTAGCCACATACAGCCACATACAGGAGCCTGAAATCCAATAACCACTTTCAAAGCCTGAAGGTGCGTAACTTCCTCATTCAACTTCCTCATTAGGTATCACAGTTTTGGAGGCTTTTTTTCTCACTTTTTGAAAAATAAAATAAGAAAAGAAAAAATATGTTTTTGTTTTTTTCATTTTCCAAAAACGTTTGGCAACAAACGAGGCCTGTAAATTACTCACCATGCTTCTTATCAAATTCCTTGGGTTGTCTACTTTGCAAAAAGGGGTCATTTGGGGGGTTTGGTGCTATCCTGGCATTTTCAGGGCCTCCAAAACTGTGAGAGGTTGTCAGGAAGTGTAATGAGGAAATAAAGCTCTGGATTTTGGGGTCCTGTACTTTGCTAGACTGCCAAAAAGTCTCTCACATGTAGTACCCCCATACTCGGGAGAAGTAGCAGAATGTGTTTTGGGGAGTAATTCCACATATTCCCATGGCATGTGTAAGCAATAAATCATTTAAGTGACAATTTTGTGTAAAGAAAAAATTTTTTTTTGTCATTTTCCAAAAACTTAAATTCTTCTATTGATTCAACGTGCCTCTCAGCAAATAGTTTGGGGTGTCTACTTTCCAAAAAGGGATCGTTT